TTTACTAGCTAACAGATTGCGGAAAGTTAATTACATTAGCATATTATAATACTTGATTTGACCATTAAATTGTATTAACGATTTGTAAATAAAGGTTTTGTAAATAACGTTTTTAGCAACTACTTCAAAAATATTGTACTATCATGTTATTTTACGCATATTCTATGAAAAAAGCCTATTTGTTGAGCTTTCTAGAACTATTATTTTAGGTTAGATAAACTAATCAAATAATTGTTAATAGATTGTCAAATCCTTTCAATCCATTAATTTAATATCAATTCACTAACATGCAAAATATAATTATTGCATTTCTATTCATTTATATGGAATATACTTATTAATGTTGTTCAGTAAAATTAGCTGATAGCTGATAAGTTAGATTATAGATTATATGTAATTTTCGAACTTATAACTGAAAAACTAGTTTATATGATAAAAGTGTTTGATAAAATTAACTGATAAGTTAGTTAAAATAAAACATTCAACAACTTATTTGAAAAGCTATCTAAAGAAACTTATAAAATAAACTTAGCTTTTTAACATAGCGGTTTAACAAGTCCTAACAAAAGGCCATCAATTCTTATTAGTATTATCTTATGGGGGCAAAGCATATTGTCAATTTGACACATCACACATAATCTCGAAAGTGACCAGCACTTTTTGAGGTGTAAGTTGTCTTGAAAGATACAACATTTGTTTTAAAGATCTTGGATCTTTTAATTTATTTGATATTGTTATTGGATATATTTACATACAATTATCCATGTTTTAGGATATATAATGTCATTTTATATTATAATCAACAGTTAATACACTTACATATCATTACATATAAAAAAATGAGGTCAAAGTACATTTCTTAATTCAGTAAGCATGCTGATAGGCAGACATAATTATTAGACAATCGTTTCTCTAAATACGCATACTAAATGAATGCATAAGTGTATATTTTTGTTAAAAAAAATGATGGATTAACTTGACTAATGTTTATGCCACCTCATAAAATAGTGTTCTTTTTTTTACTTAATTGTCGAGCAACAATAAGGCTACTGGATACTATTAGGAAACCTAACGATTAGATAGTGATAATATCTCAATATATAAATATATATGGAGATATTGTTCAATTGAACTATGGTAATAGAAAATAATATAAACTAAAATATGACATATTATAGCATAAACATACATTGAATTGAATTATAGATATACAAAATACTAGACTATCGTCATAACTCATAAGCATATTGATAGGGAATAAGGTAAAATATAAGGCATCGGGCTGAACCGACCGAGATAGAGTAGGTGTTGGAGGAGAAAGAACCGGATCGATCCCACATGCGTGGGGATCGATCCCATGATCGAGCCTGCGAAGAGGCGCGTGATCGAGCTCGTAAGCTCGGTCTTTGAAGAACTGCGTGATCGAACTCATAAGCTCGGTCCCTGTTTAATAAATATAATATTTTAAGACATCTACACATGAGACACGCCTATATATATTGAGACATTAATTGTCGTGAGGTTAAGTCACATTTATTATTCAACGACCAAAGTACCATTACTGTTCATCTGATTCCCTACTCGTCTCCCAAATACTAACTTAAGCTTTGGAGGGTTTTACGCCGGAAAACCTCCGGCGTGCTTTGCAGGTACTCACGAGCTTCATCTCAGACCGAAAACCGGGGAGAGGAAGACGCAACCTTGAACCAAGGACCGTTCTGAGCCGGAGCTGCTTACACGGAACCTTATCACATATAATAAACATACTAGATTAATATCTCACATGTGAACGCCTTATGTTTTCTTCAACTCTCTAATTGCACTTTTTTTTTATTATAATACATAATATACATCGGTTGAATATGACTTGCTCGGTTTTATTCAACACAAAAAATATAAAATTTTCTGCAATAATTGATACTTGACACGGATATATATTCTTCAATTTCTAGGAAAAAATATATTTAAATCCACGATCTTCATAGCAATATATGATTATAATCTGATTGTAACATATCAATAATTGTAGAACTGGCCAAAAGAATATTGCTCCCAGCAAAGCAAAGTGCATTATTATGCATGCAGATAGCCTGGGATTCGTGCACATCCTAATTCAGTCAAAATTCAATTAAGGCTTGATAAGGAACAAATTATTTTAAAAATTGGATCAAAATCAAGATTATTCAAATAGTTTATTAACAGGACAAGGCCTAACTTCAATAGAGTGCAATGATATATTATAAAATAGCTTATTATTTACAGTTCATTTAAATTAAATGATACTGACTGGGATGTGTAGCTTATCTGAAACAAGATTTCAGTAAGTATTACTAATTTATGAGATCTTTTACCCAAATCTCATTGATGTGTACCGTATTATTTTAAATTTATTTCAGATGTACACCTAAGTTTTGCGGTCGTCTTTATCTTTTATACGATTTTATTCAATCATATTAGGTTTGAGTTGGAAAAAAAGGTTTAATTGTGAATGGATATAAAATAAAATGTAAATATGATATTTGATATGATAAAATAGTTATAAATTGAGTGGTATAAAAAAGTAAGATATCGATTAATAATAGTTTGATATTAAAATTATGTGAGTGAATGAGTAATATTTTTGTTTATGAATATGTGATAATGAAAAATATTATTTTTAATCATGTGAAACTGAAGTAGAATAAACGGTAGACTTCATAGAAAAATAAAACACATAATTANAAAAAAGAAGAAGAAGTAGAATAAACGGTGAATCTCTTAACAAAATTATCCAATCACAAATTCACTAAAATATTTTATCCATTCGGCTCAGGTTTCCTGAATTCAATTATTTAAACGAACACATATATTTCAATTTGCTAAAAATTAAATGAAATGTATTTAATATACGGTTACCATATATGTAATAACTTAGAAGAAACATTATCTCTTTAGAATAACATGTTACTCTAGCATAAGAATTAATCTATATGTTGTCATATTTCGATTAACTAACTAGCTTATCGAATCATGTTCTCACAAGAACAGAATAGTTGATTTCAATATTATATACTAAAAGTAATAATATGTATTTATCATGTGTATTTTCAAAATATCAAGATACAAATAATTACGTTAATTTGTGAAAGACACAACGCATGTTTGTTTATGGAATTTTTTTAAAAAAAATTCAACATTTTAACTCAACCACTTTTTTTAACTCAACCCCATTATCATCAATACTCCCTTCTATTTTTATTATTTGTCATCCTAGCTTAATTGATCGTTTGTTAAATAAATGTCGTTTTGGTTATTTTGTACATATTTTTCCATTATTACCCTCATCTAACTAATAAATACACTACGTCTTTTCATATTCACTCTCCATCTTTTTCTCAAAACATCAATCTCTATATTCATTAATGAGGGTTATTATTGACAAAAAAAAATATTCTTAATTAATGTGCAACTTCTCAAAACGACATTTATTAAAAATAGAATGGAGTATTATTAATATAATTAAATAATATCAAACAATCATTCATACACACCACATCAAACTTAATTCACTATTCATCCACTCACTTTATTTTAACTAACCATCACTTCAATCATATATCTCCTACTTTTACATCAAATAAATTTTAATTATTTTATTTTAAATATTATTTTAATATACCCACTAACAACTAATCATACCACTTTTTTTTTAAAATTAATCAAATTAAACTAAATTTAAACAAAACCAAAAATTTCCATAAACAAACATGCTCAAAAATGTTGATTATTCAATAGAAAAAAATAAATATAATAACAAAATAAATACATTAAATTCGCGTTTTTCTAGATGGATCAAGAAAACTTATTAGGATTTTTTGTAATAATAAAAAAATAACTAACAGCCAGTAAGATAAGGACTCGTGGTTAGAAATCTGACGAGAAAATCCCATAAAAATAGAACCCAACATCAAAAAAAGAGGGGACACAGTGTGCATGCAATGCAGGTGGGCCCCACTCCGGTTGCCTTCCAAAAAACTTGCTAGTACTATTTATTTATCTTTACAAAATTAATATAATAAATTACCCTATTTTATTAATTTATTACCAGTAAAAAATTTAAAAATTCTCCTTGCATTAAATTGACAAAAATCACCCTAAAGGAATATCACAAGCAATTCCTGCTCAACACGTGGCAAATGGCTCCTTTGATTCCTCTGGGGGATCAGAATTTTTTTTTTTTTTTTCCGTGTCAACGGTCCATCATTTCCCTCATTTGCTTTGGCATACATTCTTTAAGGGCCTGAACACAAATATTTTTCTTTTTTATATTTGTCCCCTTCAAAAAGAGGGTAAAGCTAAGAACAGTAATTTTAAGCTATGTAAATTTGCTAATAAAAATTATAGTATATAATTTTGTCCCTTCAAAAGGAGTGTAAAAACAGCAGTTTTTATAGATTTTTTACTAATTACGGTGAGGAAAAAAGGAAAGAAAGGGTCCCAGTAAAAAAGAAGGGGAAGGTGCAAGAAATAAACACCAGCTCATCTTTTTTTCTCAGTAAACGTCTGTTTTTTTAACTTACTTTCTCTACTTTTGATGTGTTTTAAAACCAACTACATCTCTTTCACTGAATTCAAAAGAAAAGCAATTCTCTCTCTGGGCCATGAATGAGAAAGTAGAAGATTTCAACAGTTCTGTTATCGATTTTTTTTTAATCGACACATATAAATCCATTTGGAATGAGTTATCAAGCATAAACCTTTCGAATGTGTGACTGATTTTTTTCTTAAGAGTGACTCGACAAAATAATACTGCAAAATTAAAAGTAGAAAAATACATTGCAGACAGCAAAATAATACTACAAAATCTCATAAATTTCATTACTTATCCATCTCTTTTCCTTCCTTCTTTCCCCCGTAAAACTGTACAAATTCATTGGTCAAAATCCCAACTCAACATTTTTTTTTTCTTTGGGAGAGAAAAAAACAGTTGAGCTCTATTCTTCCCAATGCCTATCACCTTCCAAAAACAGTTGAGCACTTTACATTCATTCTCCTCACAAATCAAGAAAAAACCAAACNTCCCTAGTTACTTAACCCATTAATGACTGATAAATCAAAAAGTCAGCCTTAATCCTTGCATATAAACACCACCATTTAGCATTTTCCCATCCATAGGCCGGCTGATCAGCCCTCTCGTCCCATAATTCCCTTCCGAAGATTCCATCGAATCGAATCTCAAATTCTTTTCGTTATTTTTTTCTGAATATGGCTCAATGGTCCTCGACAAATATTCTCCCAACAAATTCGCGAAACCTTCTCGAATAGAGTTTCGGGTCTACGGCCGAGATTGAGGTGGGGTCCACCTGCAGGGACTTGTACGCATGCTCGATTTTCTTGGTGATGTCATAGTCTTGCAAAATGTCGATAATGCCAAAGTAGAGAACAACTTCGTAAGTTTCGCCATTGTTCGAAGGAGTCGAGTGGCTAAAACCGGAATGATTGTATTGGTCGAAATCGCTCTTTCGAGACACACGTTGGGCTCGGGCAGGCATGTTTGCACCTAATCTTATCAACGGTTTTCTGATAAAGAATTAAAAACGGATATCGATTTAGAATCGAAGCAAAAAATTCATGAAAAACAGTAAATGAACAACCTTATTGAAATATAATATCAATTTATATTAAGGTAGGATCCAAAACAACAACTATTCCTTGCAAGTGATTAAAAAATATTGAAAGAGAAGAAGACTAGAGGTTTTTTTTTTTTCTTCTTATCCACAAACACAAGCCCATGCTGTAAACAAACCCCACAAACTGTGTATAATAATTTTTAACAAACTGCAACTACAATATATTCACCCATCATTAGTCCCTCTCATGAATTATTATTCAACTATCATTTCCAAATCACTGGAAAAATTCAAATCTATATACAATACAATTATACATACCTTCCGGCTAAAATCCGATCCATGTCTTGTAACTCGGCCTCGAGAAAACGACAGCCACGCATGAATTTTTCGCTTTGGAAAGAATCACCTTTCACTGAGAAGCAAAAAATTATAGTACAATATAATCAAAACCTTCGAATCCCAAGGAGAAATCAATCAATAAAACCAATTGTGTCGTGACAATAAATTAAAGAATTACCTGCACGAGGCATAAAAGGCGATAAACCAATTTTATCTCCCGTACAATCATCACGGAAATGAAGGCCGACCAAGAGACTGTAATCCATTATACGTTCTTTCTCAAGAAATTCACAGTCACGATGGATTTGCCTGCAAAACACAATTAAGAGAATCAGTAAAAAACAGGTTCAGACAACAATTCGAGTAAAAATAAATAAAAGGGCAGAGACAAAATACTAACTTGATGAGTTCTTGATACCAATTGGTCTGCAAACGGAACATATAGTTTAGGTCGAGGTCCTTTAGAGTAGTTGTCTCATCAATTTCCCCCTTAGTTTTATCAGTCGTGCGGCCGTGTGATGATCCTTTCAGATCAAATCTTCTATGAATTCGATACTCGGAGCAGAACAGATTTCCCATCACAATGAACCGTGTCTAGATTTTCGAAATGAATACATTAATTAGACAAACAGAAGACATAATGTATATATGTTCTACAATTTACAACATAACCGTGATATGATCCAAATTTTTGAAATCATTATATATTATTATATATATGTACCTTAACGCCACCGACTGGCTTCACACAATGGACCCCATAAAATTTCGTGACAAGCGAATTTTCATAACGAGAGACATGCTGATAGTAACTAGGAAGCATTTTGATAAGCACCTGAAGGAAGCAAATAACCATACGCCGATATTTTCAGAAACAGTTAGATCAATTGTATAAGACCTATCTGTTTTTCCCAACAAGTTAAAAGAATTAGGCAGCAAAAACAAACCTTGACTTCTGATTTCTTGACAGTCTTTATCATAAATCTATCGTCTTGTGTCAAGTAAAAGAAACTTCCACTCTTCCCGGGAGAAGAAAATTCTCTCAGGGAATCATTTCCACAAATGGCTGACATGTAATCCACAGGATCCACTTGAAATAGCTCGCGTAATTTCCTGATAAAACAGTTTCATTAACCAATGCATCCCAATAAAGCTAGCAACTTTAAGAACACATCTCACACCAATGCAGCAAAGAATAGCATTTTTTTCACCACATATGTGATAACTGATAACCTAATTAAGAATAATTACCTAAAGACAACTGGGCAATAATCCTTCCACCGAAACTCGGGGGACTGATGCAGAGGCGTAATTTCCGACCCCTCAGGGGGAAACCTTGTCCAAAACTTCTCCATAGGATCAAAATCAGTCACCTTAAGCTCTCGCAATATCGAAGCATACTTTCCCACAGAATACCTAAAGCAAATTACATTAAAAAACACATAAACACCACAACAGAGAAAAAAAGCTCGCTAAACTCGAATGTACATAATGGATTTCAACCGTACCTAATGCCCAGCTGAAAATTGAGCATCAAATCATAATTCTTATGCCCCTTCGAAATCATTTGCCCTGGCCTTTTCACCTCACCACCATTAAAACAACAGGGATTCCTTCTAAACTGCTTAATTCCATCGCGATTCAAAACAAACCCATCTCTATACAACTTCGAGGCCTCCAAATTATCGATTATGTCACACGTTATATCCCCAGCCTCCCCATCGGAATCCCAAATGCAAATCCTTGGAAAAGCCCTCTCTGTAACACCGCCATCAACAGAAAGAGGCCAGTTCTTAACACCGCCATTGTCAGTCATCACATTCACCTCCTCCTCCGACACCATCAATAGTGTCGACATTTTATGACCCAAATACCCCTGCAGGCTCTCCTTCTCGTTCCCATTCCCATTCTTGGAACTGTAGGCAGGGTAAAAAGTCCCATTCAGGATTTGCTGTCCTTTGCCGCCGTTTTTACACGTCTCGTTTGACCAGCAACCGATGTAACAGCTGCCGTCGGGCCAGGTGAAGACCCCGTGGCCCTTGGGGGCCCCACAGTCCCAGTTGCCGTCATACCTGTTTCCGTTGTTCCAGACAAGAATCCCTCTGCCGTGAATCGTCCCGTTTTTCCACTCGCCGATGTACTCGTTTCCATTGCTCCATACGTATCTGCCTTGGCCGTCCTGGAGATTTCTCTTCCAGTGCCCTTCGAAATAATCTCCATTGCTGTAGTGCTTGACGCCGTAGCCGTGCTTGCGGTCGCCGGACCACGAGCCCCTGTACGTGTCCCCGTCCGGTCCGATAAACGTGCCGGAACCCTCCATCCTGCCCGACCGGAATTCGCCCTCGAAAGTGGCACCCGACGGCCAGGAGAACCTCCCGCGGCCGCTGGCCTTCCCCTTCTTCCACTCGCCCTCGTACATACACCCGTCACTCCACAGGTACTTGCCGGATCCGTGTGGGGTGTTGCCGGAGAATGTCCCGATGTACAGATCGCCGTTGGGGAGGCGCTTCTCGAGGAAGCTCCCGGCGGAGCCGGCGTCGGAGACTGAGGCCGGGGTTACCCTGCGGCTCGTCGCCTGGGATTTGCTCCGGGGTACGATGACTACCGATCTAGGAGTGGTGGTGGTGGAGGCCGCGCAGTCGGAGACCTTCTTTCTCTCTCTCCCTAGACTCTCCTGGCTGGATTTTATCTGCTCATTTTCAGCTGGCGCGGTGAGAAATTGTGGTTCAGGCATTTTTTTTTCAAGTAAAAAAGGCTTTTTCAGTAACTGGGCAAGCAAAATTAAGATTCACGGTCCCTCCTATTTTCTTTTTTCTGTATCAGCTATGGCCGGCAAATCGAGTCACCGGCTGGGAAATCCAGCTCCAGGGCCGGCGGCATTTTTCTGGCCAACCCTTTTTCCTCTGAGTATCCCTTTTCCTCTAAGAGAAGGAGGAAGCTTTCTTTCAGAAGAGTTTTAGGAATCCTAACAGTAACCCAAAAAGGAAGACGAGCTGAAGAGGAAAGGTTTGTAGAGAGAGAGAAACGAGCAAAATGAAGAAAAATTAACAAAGAAACTGAAAAGACAAAATTAAAGTATAATAAAGAGAGCCCCGCGAGGAGAGAGAAAAAAAAAAAGTGAAGCTAGCGAGTGCGTGTAGTGTGTGAGAGAGAAAAGAAAGCGTAGGTTTTTAGCCGGCGTCGCCGTTTTGTACTGTTACAGCTCGGCCTAGGGAAAATCGTATCGTCTCTACGAATAAAAAAGGCTATACATACAGAGAAATGCAGCGCGATGAAATGACGGACATGCCCCCTTTCCCGGTGAGCCTGCAAACAGGGGAATATTGTCTCCTGATTTTTCCTATTCGTGACGTGACCGCATTTTTGCAATGGGTGGTAAGAGAGGGCACGACAGGTAAAGTGTAATTATTGGAATAACACTCTATTTGAGTTTTATTACGAAAATGCCTCTAACCTAGAATTTCAATTTTGTTTTTGAATTTTTGATTTTCTTTTCCGGATTCTTACACGCGTCAAGGGTTTGTGGATATAATTGCGGCAGATTATGTGACCTAAAAAAAATCAATTGTAATTAGGTAAACATTTTCAATTGTAATTAGGATATAATTGAATTTTAGTGTAAAAAAAATCAACTATATTTCATCTAATTTTTTACGATTGGTTCAGTTTGCAGGGATTTGCTCCTTAATTTTATGATTCATTATGAATTGTATTAATCAGGTGTAATGACGTCACAGTACCTAATTAATTTGGTCGAGAACACGTAATTAGGTAAACATTTTCAATTTAATTTTCTTCTTTTTTTATTGTATTTTTATGTTGTTTATTTCCCAATTATTTATTGTTATAAAATTAGAGGAACTGGCCGGAGAAATCGAATCCCAGTAGATAGAATTATCTGCAGCTAATGATATAAACTTTGTCAACATTTGATCTAATATAGTAATATAATGTTCTCTCCTATTCTTAATAAATGTCGTTTTCAGAAGTTGCACAATAATTAAGAATATTTTTTTTGTCAATAATAACTCTCATTAATAAGGATAGAGATTGATGGAGATTGATGTTTTGAGAGAAAATGAAGAGTGAATATGAAAAGACGTAGTGTATTTATTAGTTAGATGAGGATAATAATAAAAAAATATGTACAAAATAGCTAAAACGATAGCTAAAACGACATTTATTAAACAACCGATCAATTAAGTTAGAATGACAAATAATAAAAAAATTAGCTCTGTAGTGTGCACCACTTTTTGCAAAATTAGCTCTTAGTCAATTTTATTTTCTTGAGGTAAAAGTAGAATAAATACTCCCTCCACTTTGAAATATAAGGTGTATAAAGATTTCTCAATTTTTTTGAAATATAAAGCGCGGGCAAAAATCAAGACAAATTTTTGCATTTTTTTCTAAATATACCCTTATTGTGTTGAAATTAAGAAAGTGTGGAGTGGTTGTGATTAGAGTAAATAAGGTTAATTTAGTTAATTTATTCATTAATTAATGTCTCCTTAGTATTTGTGCAATAACCTTAAATGTCTTATATTTCAAAATGGAGGGAGTAGATGGTATCTTTATGGAAATTAACTAAAATGGTGTGTATATGTCTCCTATTTATTTTTAAAGGGGACTTTTCTCAAGGAAAAGATTGAAAAAAAGGCAATCTTTATTGAAATTTCTTTATGACTTAATACTCGAAAGCGCCTAATAATCTAAATATGTGTGTTTGATAGCACGGCCAGCTACATTTTCGTTAATTTATTACTATTTTTACTTTAGCAATATGAATGTGTACATTCATTTTTTGACCTTCGTATGTGTATATTTTACAAGTTTTTTCTTTTTAAACATTGGGATATCAAAATTCAAATTTGAAACCTTTCATGCACTATTGCAAAACAGCAAAATGTAGCGATGTAGGGCAATTATTAAAATTCAGAACATTTTTTTTACAGAGCATACTACAATGTTATTGACTTCTTGTAATCTTAGAATTTATTGTAATTCATATATTTATTCAATTTAGTGAAAACGTTGACCTTGTTCGATAAGAACGATTTGAAGTGAATCATACTTACACGTTTGCCCTATCAGAACCCCTAATTTCATTATTTGGTAAGCAATTGATTGAAATATTTTTTTTTTATAATTCAAAAAACTAATTTCGTTAAAAAGTCTCAATATATCAGCTTTTGGATTAGATGATTATTAAATTAGTTGTTTTCACATATAATAACTATTTTTTCACCCTTTATACAAAAGCATTGGAAATGGTGGTACATCATGAGTTGATGTAAAGTAGGCTTACAAACATAGATTGGGCACAAGCTTTGGGCCCACTCAGTGGCCCATTTACTCATAGCAGTGGTTTCACTATTCAAGCCCCATATATCCAAAACCTCATAGTTGGAATTTGGAAAAGTAGGCTGTTATAATGCAAGTATTAGTCATTTTCATACCTTATTATTGGATATTACTATTCACCGCCCTCAATTACGTTTTTGTCCTTAAGCACTCTCTCTCTACTCTTTCCTTTTCGATTTTCTACGACTCTTTTGACCGTCAAAAAAATATCGAAAAATTCAAAAAAAAAAAATCATGACATCGGCAAGACATTGAAGATTGACTATGTTTTTTTATTTTTTACTTTGTAAATAATTTTTATTTTTTTATTTTTTTGTGCGTCCGGCCGGTAAAGAAGTACGCACAAGGTGGCGTCCTACTGGTGAGGCCTGACGCAACCGTGAGCTTCCGGCCTCGCCGGTAGGACGCTACCTTGTGCGTACTTCTTTACCGGCCGAACGCCACATTGTGTGTACTTCTTTACCGGCCGAACGCGCAAAAAAAAATAATAATAATAAATAAAAATTATTTACAAAGTAAGAAAAAAAATACATGGTCAATCGTCAATGTCTTACCAATGTCATGGTACTTTTTTGAAATTTTTTCGAAATTTTTTTGACTGTCAAAAGAGTCGTAGAAAATCGAAAACGTCCAAGGAAGACGGTGACTAGTAATAAGGGGGCGGTGAATAGCAATTCAGTATTTATTTTTTTCCATTTCTTAAAGGTTATGTTTAACTTCTAATCACACCACCATAAAATTTAGTATATTTTACCCCAAAAGGCCTCCCAACATTAAGCATGTAACAACCTAAGATTTTGTACTTTATGGACCTAATTAAGTGGCAATTAATGCCCAAAACAAATGCACTTGGTTGAATAAGTATTTCTATAGTTTTCATTTTTTTTTAAAAAAAAAAAAACTTTATTTTTTACCTTATTTAGAAAGAAATCCACTATTAGAGCATCTCCAGTACCTCGCCATTAATATTAAATTTTTTTTACCATATGGCTGTAAACAATTGGACTGTGAATTCATAAGAAAGCATTGTGCACAGCATAAATAATAATTTTTTATTACCATCTTCAATGCATACTTTTATTCATGCATATATTTATTTTTAAAATATACAAAATAAAATAATAAAGTAATTCTTAGAAGACTAATAAACAAAATAAAATAATAAATTAATTTTTAAAAGACTAAATAAATTTATTGAATAAAACATATCAACATTCCAACTTGAATATATATGTATATATGTATATAATAAAACTAAATAAATGATAAAATTGATAAAACATGTGTAACACTTAATTTTTTTTCCAAGATAAAACATATCAACACACCAACAAAAAGTATAATAAAACCAAATAAATTACAAAATTGAGAAAATGTGTGTAACACCTAATTTTGAGGAAAAAAAATACTAAAATTATAAAGTTGAGAAAATGTGTGTAATACCTATTTTTGGGAAAAAATATTAAAATTTTAATTATGATTAGTAGTTTCAAATTAAAAAATTGGCTTTTATCTCCACGAGAAAAAATAAATAATAAAGTAGTTTTGTTTTTTAAATGTTGAAAGTGTAATTACTAAAAAAATATTAAATTTTTTTTATAATAAAACAAATAAATAATAAACTAAATAAATGAATATGTGCAACACATAATTATGAGAAAAAAAATATTAACATTTTAATTAAAAACATATGGTTAATTGTTTTGAATAAAAAAAATGACTTTTATTCCTATGAAATAAAATAAATAATAAGTAGTTTAATTTTTTAAATGTTGGAAGTGTAATAACTAAAAAAATATAATTTTTTTTATAGTAAATCCAAATAAATAATAAAATTGATAAAATGTGTGTAACATCTCATTTTGAGCAAAAAATATTAAAATTTTAATTACAGACATACGATTAATTGTTTCGATTTAAAATAATTGGCTTTTATCTCCACGAAATAAAATAAATATTAAAATAGTTTACTTTTTTAAAATGTTGAAAGTATAATTACAGCCAAAATATTAAAATTGTAGTTGCAACTTGCAACATACGATTAATTATTTCAAATTTTACAAATTAATTTTTTTATCTAAACAAAATTAAACTAAATAATATTTACAGCGAATTTTTCTCATTTTTTAGTTTATTTTTTTCATTATATTTGATAATGTGTCTATCGAACTGACTTTCTAGATCTAATCGCTATGTCATTATAACATTCCCCATAAAATAGCCTATTGAAATAAATAATATTCAGAGTGTCTACCCAAATGACATGGCAACTAATCTTTATTCAGAGTGTCTACCCATTGAGATGCTCTTAACCATTTGTGTGCATGACACAAACGGTCTTGGTACCGAACTATTAATTGCACTATGGAGTTCTTACCTAATAATATTTGAATTGCTTGTACTCAATAAAAGATGTGTAATTGAAGAACTATATGTAGGACAAAATTGGAGCTATTATATTTTTATTACATGTTCAATGTACTTATTCTTTCACGTGCAGTTAAAAAGTTGGTCAAAAAATAAAACTTTGATCGAAATTCATGAATTTATGATTTATCATAATTGTTTATACTTATTACCGAACAGTTTTTTTGACCCAACCAGTGACTCGGTCCACCCGAACATAAAATTTGGATAACCCATTTAGTTGAAAGCGTATTAGAAGATAAGATTAACTGATGTAGGGAAACGTACGAGTGTGACGATATTAATGAGATCGCAATATCAAGAACATCTAAAAAAGATATCAAATCATCTTTTCATTCAATAATTCATAATCAACCAAGGAAAATAAACTAGAATGAATCTTTTATATAAGGTTTCTAAACCTTATTTCTCCAACAAGA